AGTTAAAAAAACTGTGTTTAATGTTTGTTAATTTAATTTTGAGAGAGCGAGAAATAGAGAGGGAGATAGAGAGTGAGTGGGGGAGGGGCAGAGAGAGAGGGGACAGAGCATCTGAAGCAGGCTGTGCACTGACAGCACAGAGCTTGTTGTGGGGCTCAGACCCATGAGCCATGAGATCATGACCTGAGCCAAAGTTGGACGGATGCTTAACCGACTGAGCCATGCAGGGGCCCCTCTCCTATTGTGTTAAAATTTTTTTTTAAATGTTTATTTATTTCAGAGGGAGAGAGAGAGACAGAGAGCCAGCAAGGGAGGGGCAGAGAGAGAGAGGGAGATACAGAATCTGAAACAGGCTCCAGGCTCCGAGCTGTCAGCACAGAGCCTGACACGGGGCTCGAACTCACGAACCGTGAGCCAAAACCGTGAGCTCATGACCTGAGCCAGAGTCAGACGCTTAACCAACTGAGCCACCCAGGTGCCCCTCGTATTGAGTTTTTAATTTCAGATATCATGTTTTTTACTTGAGTGAAATTTTAAAAATTTAAAGTAATTTTAATATTTCCTTTTAACAAGATCTTGTTATATTGTACGGTAGTGTTGGATTCTCTGAACTCCCTGAGAATATGGGTTTTGGGGAGGAAAGGTTTTTTTTCTCCTTGCACTGATGATAGCTCTTTTGTTGCTTTGTTTTCGTTTTATCATCCACCTTTTCTTGGATACTCCAGACTCAAGCTGAGTGAATGGAAGGAAGGGCTGACGGGAAACTGAACTTGTGAATGGGATTTGTTTGCCCCAGGCTTCACTGTAGAGTGAGTGGCTGGGGTAATTATTTGAGGAATCTCTGATATCAGTGTCTGTAGATCTTCCTCTTGGAATGCTTGGGTTCTTAGAAAAGTCTACACTCATTTCGTGCCTGGAAACTGAAGGCCTGGGTGCCAGTCTTCTGGAAGCCAGGAGAGGGGAAGTGGTTAGCTAACGTGTCTGTCTTCAGTGTACCCCCACCTCCGATGTGTTTGGTGTTCACCTAGAAGATCCTGTTTTATCCTCTCTGGAAAATAACCTCCAGTCTTTCCCAAGGGCTGGGGAGGAGTGCTCGCCCACTTATGCAAAAGGGAGAAGTGATCTGGAAGTCTGAATCTTAAACTGACTTATAACAAGTGCTTAGCAATTTTTCTCCAGAGGTTCCTGGTACTGAAAATCTTGAGTAAAAGTCAGGTTAGTTCTTGACTTTTCCTTCTGTTTGCATAGGATTTTGTTTTCTCAGATCTGTTACGTTTTTGGCTACTCGTCCTTCTACTTTCCAGTAGTTTTTTTTCCCCCCTCCCGTCATTCTGTTATTGTAGATTGAAGCCTTGAAAAGTAGATTCTAAAAATCTCTGTACAGTCAATTTAGAAGGCTGGGGAGGAGGTGAAAGAAGATGCAGGGATTTAACTTCTTTTCCTCTTGATGACTTTTGATCTAGGACATCAGCTCCTAATTTGCTTTTGTGGTGTCCTATCTTTTTTTTTTTTTTTTTTTAGTTTATTTATTTTGAGAGAGAGAGAGAGAGAGGGAGAGAGAACCAGTGGGGAAGAGGCAGAGAAAGAGGGGGGCAGAGGATCTGAAGCGAGTTCTATGCTGACCGCAGCAAACTGCGAAATCATGACCAGAGTCAAAAGTCTGATGCTTAACCGACTGAGCCACCCAGGTGCCCCTGGAGTCCTGTCTTTAACTGAGATCTCACACAGAACGTGTGTGTGTGTGTGTGTGTGTGTGTGTGTGTGTGTGTGTGTACGTACACGTATATGAACTAGATATAGGCAAAGCTGCCCTGTTTGAAGAGGAGGTGAGAGCCTATGGCTGCACTTCTCAGTTCTCGTTTTGCCCTGTCTCTAACATGAGAACCCCCTGCAAAGGGGGTTTGTAAACCGCTGATTTAGGAGCCTCATCTATCCCTCTAGCAGATGTCAGACATTTGAGTGAAGTTTATGGCATTATGGAAGGAGCCTTGATTTATCCCTTTAGAGATGGATTTTATTGTTCCTCATTGCTCAGATGGTGCGTGTCAGAGAAAAAAATGACTATTCTAAAATTTTTTGACCTTGACTAAAATTGGACTTTGCACCTCCTTTCAGGCTAACTTTATTATTGTAAAAGTAGCTTTAAAATGCTATTTTTTTTGTTATTTGAAAGGAAAGTACATAAATTTACCTGAAAATTAAGCAATATTTAATTATGCTTATACATTTTGATAAGCAAAGTTGTTGTAAGTGCTCATTTACTTTCAGAAAGCTAAAATTCTGTTTTACACTGGATTGCTATTAGATTCAGCGTTTCATTGAAAATTACTTACCTGACTATATGAATGAGAAGGGGTCTGTGAGGCCAGAAAGGTATTGGGGATTTATTCTTCATGGAAATCATTATTAAATTAGTGCATAATTTAGCTTCATGTTTATGTACAGTCTAGCCTTTAAAAACCTTGCTGTTTCCTTCCTGCTCCGCGTTTCCCTGGCACAGGCCACGAATTCCCTGTTGAAGCCACGGAAGAACGTGGAAGTTTTTGCACATTGCAGGTCGCTTAGCGGTCCAGTGGGGAATAGACACCAAGATTTACAAAGGCTGTTAAATGAAATAACATATTTTCACATGTCACTAAGGTAACCCAGTACATATTTTCACATAATAAGAAAAAATACCCCCCCGCGCCCCCCCAATGAACAGAAGGAAGCCAAAAAAAACCCCTCTAATAGTATAGAGTCAAAATGAAGGAGGTGGTGCTAGGTCTCTTCCGAATTGTCCTGTTGTTACATGTTGACACGAGCATAATTTCACAGGGGACTCAGGCATCATGCTCAAGATTTATTTTCAGGCACGAGATGCCTTTTGAAAACAGAAACATGACCCAAACTGGTGAGAAACACCTCGTATTTCCACTGGTGTTGCGCATTGGAAAGACTCTCAAGAACAGTGTGAAGAGTTGTCTGGCTCACGGCCTCTTTTGGAGGCCGACTGTGCACGGGACACAGGACCTGTCTAGGATGCATCTCGTGGAGCACTGAGAGGTGGGGGAAGGAAGGGCGCTCTCTCCACCCGCTTACAGAGCAGCTTGGAGCGCTGTCAGCCGTAGGATGGGAAGAGTCCTGAGAAAAATCATTTCTGGCAAAGGATCTGCTTCAATGACCGGGGAAGTAGGTCCTAAGGTTGCCTGTGAGCACAGCAGGGTGTGTGTGCCACGGCCTCAACTTGCTTCTTGATGACCTCGTGAAGCTGGCCTTTCCACCAGGCGATTCCAAGAAGAGCCACAACATTGTGAAACGTGCAGGAGCCACTCAGGGCTGCTGTCCTCAAGGAGAAGCCTGGGGAAAAACACACCAAACACTAAATCAAGGCACTGAAGTCGTGTTGCAAATCCATTGATCAGAGTGGGGGAGCTGCTCTTTGGCAATCTTTTGAGGAAATGGAAGCAGCTCTTCAAGCAAATGCCATGTATGAGACGGAGCCAAACCTCTGTTTCCTGAGGTCTCCGTAAATGTTTATTCTTGTTGTTCCCCTCTTTCATCTTTCACAATAGACGTCTCACTGTGGAGTCTTGAAGTGAGACCATGTCAGTTGTGAGTGGCCTTGGGGAGGACCGTGGCTCCAGGATCTTTGATATCAGAAGAGGAGGCTCCTTGCCCTCCTCCTCTGCTTGCACCCCTGCTTCCTTCTACCCTCCTCTCTCTTCCCTCTTTTCCCTTGGCTCTTCTTCATGTTCCTAAGCATTCTTGTCCCTTTAGAACCCACCTTAGTTGGATTCTCCTTCATTTCTCCCTGATCTGAACCAGGGTCCCTGTGTGGTTGGTGGTGGAGGCAAAATGCAATGGGTGCAGTCATGTTGTTAATGGCAAGGTGTTCTGAACAGGTTGCTTGTTATTCTCTTATTGCCCGCCACCCCCCCCAACCCCCCACCCAGTGGGCTCGTTCTGAGCCCCTTTTGTCATCCAGACTCTTGCTTCCCTGGACCCTGTTGGATCTGTTCAGGGTCTGCTCTCCCAGTCTCCCGTCCTTTCATGACTTACCTTATCTCCTCTCATCTCATGGCCTTCTTAGGAAAGGAGTTATTTCTGGCTTGCTGAGCACATTGAAGCTAAGGCATTAATGGCTACCAGATGCCAGGGAAAACTCACATTTTAACTGGAGGCTCCTCAGACTTCAATATAGAGCCTGTAGTGAAATTTTAGGCAGCATGAGCAGTCAGTGGAGGAGAAAATGAGCCTTCTCCTGGTGCTGGTGTATATGAATGACTTCTTACTCCACCCATTTAAGAGGTGGGCCTTAATGTAATTCAGGCCTCTGAATAAAATCTTAAACAAGGATGTGAAGGGAACCAGGAAGGTTTTGGTTGGGGGAGCCAAACAAGGATTAGAGCATCTTTTAAGGAAAAGTTAGGAAAGAAATAGTATGCATGGTTAAGAAATAAAGTACAAAATATGAGTATTTTCTTCTTTTAAAAAATTTTTAAAAATGTTATTCATTTTGGAGAGACATTGCAAGTGGGGAGGGGCCTAGAGGGGGAGACATAGACTCCGAAGCAGGGTCCAAGCTCTGAGCTGTCAGCACAGAGCCCAACGCAGGGCTCAAACTCACTAGCCGTGAGATCATGACCTGGGCTGAAGTCAGGTGCTTAACCAACTGAGCCACCCAGGCATCCCAGAAAGTATGAGTATTTTCAGTCACTCCTGGAGCCTCTTTTCTGTTACCAGCTCCCTGCCTGTGGCTCTGGTAAGGCACAGGCAAATACAGGTTAGGCAAATAGACACAGGGAGTCATTGAGCTGGAAGTGATTTGCATGCCAAAAGAGATCACAGGGACCCTTTTTTCAAATCCGGGGGACTGGAGGCGTTTGCTGGCAACGAGGCTTTTGCATGAATTCAAGGAGAGAGCTTTCTAGATCCCTGGACTCAATAGAGTGGCTTGGCCAGAGAAGCTGTTCTTCCCTGTGGATGTGTCGCAGTATGATCAGAACGCCCTGGAGAGGATGCCCTCCCCTGCATTGATCTTCATGGCCGTCTTCTTCCTGGAGTCACTGGCTGCAGTGCTGCAGAATGGCTTCATCGTTACTGTGTTGGGCAGGGAGTGGGTGCGATGCCGGATGCTCCCTGCGGGTGATATGATTGTGGCCTCCTTGGCCGCCTCCCGGTTCTGCCTGCATGGGGTGGCCATCCTGAACAACCTCTTGACCGTCTTTGATTTTCATTCCATACTGGACTATTTCAACATTCTCTGGACCTTCTTTAACACTCTCTCTTCCTGGCTCACCGCCTGGCTTGCTGTCTTCTACTGTGTGAAGATCGCCATCTTCTCCCACCCTGTCTTCTTCTGGCTGAAGTGGCGGATTTCTCGGTCAGTGCCCAGGCTGCTGCTGGGCTCCCTGCTCGTGGCTGGTCTGACGGTCATCTCATCAATCACTGGGACTGTATTCCTTAGGCAGATGACTGCCTCCGAGAGTTCCCAAGGAAACAGGACCCTGGCTCATAGAGTACAGAGCTATTGGCGCTTTTCACAACCTCATGCAATACTTCTGTGGTTGACCCCATTCCTTCTGTTCTTGGTGTCCACACTTTTGCTCATGTTCTCTCTGCACCGGCACTTGGGGCAGATGAGAGATCATAGACTGGGCCCACGTGATCCCAGCACCCAGGCTCACATCACGGCCCTGAAGTCACTTGCCTTCTTCCTTGTCTTCTATACATCATATATTCTGTCCCTGATTGTCGTTATTGTGAAAATCACAACCTTCCAGGGTCACTGGCGCTGGGCCTGGGAAGTGGTGACCTACACAGGTATCTGTCTGCACTCCAGCATCCTGGTGCTAAGCAGCCCCAAGCTGAGAAAGGCCCTGAAGACCAGGCTTTGGAAAGCTCTGGACAAAGGCAGGTTTATCTCAAGTTATCAGTTTCAATAACCACTATCAGTGGACAAGCCTTTAAGTGGCTAGAGCCCCCAAAGTTTCGGCACTGTCCTTCTCTCTCTTCACTTCCCTCTTTCTTTCCCCTTCCTTCCGTACTGCATCCATTCTTTCTGTGGCCCCTGTTGTTCCTGCCATCCCCCGCACTGCTCCAGGTCCCCAGTTTGAGTCCCAGACCGCTCTGGGCTGGGCTGGTGGCCTCATTGCCTCAGAGACCTCTCCTACCTTCTGTATGAGCAGCCGTAATACCGTTTTCCAAGCATCATTTTGGTCTGTACCCTTTACAGAAGACCTATAGTGGTTGTCGATTTTCTCTGTGGTCAACCTGAAGAGTTTTGTAACGGTGGCATAGATTGTCCCCCACCGTCCCACACACCACCGCCTCCTTGTTACTGCTGTGCTGTCAGCTCGGCCTGTCCCCTCCAGCCCGGTGATTTGGCCCATCTGGAACTCCCTTCTTTCTTTGGTCTGCCATTCCTGGCCATTCCCTTCTTTTGTGCCCTGTTGACGACTGATTTACCTAGCCTTTTCAATTGGATCCCACGAAAGGCTGAAGGTATATGAGTTTTGTGCCATTCTGGGTCCTGCCCATGATTTTGTGTGTTTGCTATACGTTGAATTAAAAGGAATTGTCTGATGTGGAAATGCTTTTAGGTTTTGGCCAACAGAAGATAGAGAAGGGAAACCAAACAAATTTGCTATAGTTGTTAACTTTGATAATCCTGCCCTTCCTGTCTCTTCACCCAGGAGGTCAGTCCGGAATGGCAGTGCCTAGCTTGGTAGTCTCCACATTGGGGTGTTTGCATCTCCGAGTTGTGTACACAGTGATCCACTGAATGTGCAAAGAAAAGTGTGGTGACTCTAATTTCCGTTTATTTTTATTTCATCCTTTTAGTTTCTATTTTGTGTGTGTATATTTTAAGATATACAGAATGTATTAGTAAAGTAGTATATGCATGTAATTAAAATAAATAAAGGCACCTATGGTTGGATGCATGCTCATAAACTTTTTTTTTTTTTTGCTGATGGAATTCACTTTAGAAATGTATATAGACCAAAAGACTTGGGTAGGGGCAGTGAAGGCAAGAGCATCAGGGGTGTCTGTCTCTGCCATCCCTTCTACTCATCTGGAAGCACCTGGAAGGCTGCTGTTCCCTGTGCAGAGCTCCCGAACTTTACTGAACGTCTCGGGTGGGGAGGGGATGGTGGTGCAACTCTCATACCCCATAACCTATTCATAGCCCTTTGAGTTATGCCAGGTCTCGTGGGCTTATCTCAGGACTTCTTGATTGGTTGATGTTCTTAGCCTCCCTTTCCTGGGTTTTAACTCTGAAGAGTCCCCCAAACACTTGGTGGCTCCCATCTTGACCAAAAGCACAACCCAGTAGCCCGTCCTGACTTTTAACGCTTCCCGTGAACTCTTTGCAGCCTGCCTTTCCATCCTGGTAGGCCACCATTCCCTTTGCCAGAGTCAGACTTGCCAGATTATTCCCGAGATAATGGTAGCTCCACCTCCTTCACCGACTCATGGCTCCGTCTCCTTTATAACATACGAGACAGTCTTTGTTGTCCCGCAGTGAAGCCCCTGCTGCTGCTGCTGCTGAGCTCTTCTCTGAATTCTTGCGGTGGGAATGGGAGGCCACGTAACATTTCCAGCTGCAGCCTGGGAGTCCTCCCTTTTCATCCCTCTCTGGGAGATTCTGACGTACGTGTTTCCCACATAGAGAATCTACTCGAGGTTCCTACCTGCACCGCTCCCATGATGACGCACGAAAGACGAGCTGTGAAAACTTCCAAATTCTCAGATTTCGCTTCTACCTGGGAAGATAAATTTGAATGCGGGAAAGTAAAATGCAACAAACAAAACCAAAAAGCACAAACAACAAAAGAATCACCATAAGACGCACTGCACATATTTATATGCAAACGATTATTTACCCCTTTGGATTAACTTGATCTGCAGTGTGATGTGGCCAATTAGTGTTGTGGTTGATGACTGGTGCATGAAAACACTTTGAGGGCAGGTGCCTAGTTCACTGTTGTGGCCCCAGAGCTGTTCTCAGGGTCCTTATGGCATAGGAGATGCCTCATAAATTATTGAATGAATTGAAGGTTAGCACATGTCCTTCCCATAGTATAAGCCATCGAAGGTGGAGGTGGTGGGTGGGAAGGATGAGATTCCATACTGAGAGGTTTGTGGCTGGCCAGACTCTAGAGCTATGAACTCAAAGTTTACCCCATTGTTCCAGGCCCAATAGGCAATGGCCAAATGTCAGCCAGAGGAATAAGGCTAACAAAGAGAGGAGTTGGGAATTTTATCTCCTGAAGATTTGCATCTTCACAGAAGGGCAGGGTGAACAAAATTCCCCGTCTCTCCTTTCTCCGGAAACATAATATTCACCATAGCAAGGGCTCTGTGTTGGAAGGAGAATCCCACCTGCATCTTTGTCCCAGGTCGACTGGGAAGTGGAGAGAGATGTTGGATTTTCTACTTTCTGGTCTCCCTTTGTAGGGTTCTGTGCATGGAACTGGTAGCACATGGTGCTGGCCAGAAGGGGGGTGCACTGTAAAATACTCCCTCGTGCTCATGTTACTTGACCCTGAGCCTTCAATACGTACTGCCACGTATTACCCAAAACTATTTCTGCTTGCCTGTCTCCCTGTAGACCTGTTAATCTGCTAGTATTCACCGGGGTAAGTAAGTACTCCCCTGATTGCTGGGTTCTTTGTTTTTGTTTTGTTTTGTTTTGTTTTGTTTTTTGACTCTTTGAAATCATTCCCATGAAAAATATAATCTTTGCTTACTCTGCCTTCTTTTGGTCAAAGTAGATGGTCCAAGGTTTGGTGCTGTGACCTCTACTGTATCCCTGATGCTCTCCTGACCTCTCCTTGGATGACTTGTCCCTCTACAGTATGGATGGGATGGCAGGTAGTTATTATAATAACAGTCATCATTGTCACCATAATTCTCTCTTGTGCTTGTGCAGATTTATAGTAGAGAGATATATTCACACTTATCTGTGATCCATGTATTTTATAGGTGAAGAAAGAAGGCTTCAGAAAGGGTAAGTGGCTGGCCTGAAGATCCACAGACAGTGATTGTGACAAGACTCAAAATCTGGTCTCTGACTTTAGCTGGGGGTGAAGGAGATCAGAGTAAAGAGTGTGTTGCTAACTGAGGCAGAGATCTCTGGTCCTGGGATCATTTTGGGTCTTGGTCTTTCCTCCTTGTAACTATGACCTTAGCTGAGACAATACTTTGAGGCCTCAGTTCTTTCTTACATAAAATCATTTTTATGTTTTCTTTCACTCTAAAAACTGAGATCCTAGTCTTAGATTCTTGTTCAGTCTTGAATTAGAACAGATGATACTTGGGGCTCCTGGATGGTTCAGTCAGTTAAGCATCTGGCCTTGGCTCAGGTCACGATCTTGTGGTTTGTGGGTTTAAGCCCCGCGTCAGGCTCTGTGCTGATACCTCGGAACCTGGAGCCTGCTTTGAATTGTGTCTCCCTCTTTCTCTGCTCCTCCTCCATGCATGCTCTGTCTTTCTCTCTCTGTCTCAAACAAAACAAAACAAAACAAAACAAAAAAACAGATGATACTTGGGGTGCCTGGGTGGCCAGTTGGAAGAGCATGCAACTCTTGATCTTGGGGTCATGAGTTGGAGTCCCATGTTGGGTGTAGAGCTTTACTTAAAAAAAGAAAAAATAAGAACAGATGATACTTTTGCATCTTATGGATGGAGAAATTGAGGCTCAGAGGGGCTGACCCCATACCCAGTAACTTATGTTGGGGTGGGGGGGGGGGACTTGGACTAGTTCCTGCCTTGATGCCTCATCCAGGATTCTTTCTGCCACATCTTTTTGGTTTCATTGCTGTCCTGGTGGGGGTTCTCCCATGAAATGCCACTTTAAAGGTCACTAATTATAAAGTGTCGTAACAAAAAAATCACCTGCCTGATAGTGTATAATTGTCTCCTGTGTTCTTTTTGATGGTGATGTTCACCACAAGTTATAGGACCTGAACTAAGCTCATTCAGTAGAGGTTTAGCTCATTTTTTTAGTCTTTCAGGAGGATATTCCAAAAGCACCTACTTCATAGGGTCACGGTGGGAACTAGCACAATGGAGAACATTTAGAACAATGCCTGGAATGAACAGCCAGCGGATGGATGTGAGCTCTGACTGTCGGTCGAGGGCACGTGGATTTCCTCGCAGAGCTGCCATGCTGTGTGGTCGCGTAGGTGTTAGCTGAGAGGAGTATAACCTCCTGTGTGAAGGGTGCTAAGTGCAAGTGTGTGCCTGAGCCAGTGTTCACAGCAATGTTGACATGGGCAGAGAGTAGGCAGAGGAGGGGCAGGCAAATTCAGGGGCAGGCAGGGGGACTTTTGAAACTCAGCCTTAGCAATATTTGCATCTGTTTTGAGAAGAAGAAACCTCTCTACCCTCAGGAGATAGCCCATGTCTTCTGTTCAGTCCTCTGCACTTGTGGGGCAGCTGGAGGGGTAAACATGCAGAGCCTTCCAGAGCCACCCAACAAGAATAGACCTTGAAGCCTTGAGACCCATCTAGTGCCCAGGAGTGATGAATGGAGATGACATGATTCCAGGACCTCCAGTGACTCATAGGAGAGCCATCATCTTGGCTATCACTTTATTGTTTTGGTGCCTGGTGGCCGCAGTGAGCAATGCCTTCATCACCGCAGCACCGGACATGGAGTGGTTGCTACAGAGAACACTGTTGCCTTGTGATAAATTATTAGTCAGCCTGAGGGTCTCTTGCCTCTGTCTGCAGTGGGTGTGGTGAGGACGAGCGTTTATGCTTCCCTGTATCCGAAGGCCTTCCCAGACAGCCTTGTACCACAGTCCCTAGCTTCCCGGTGGGACTTGCCATCTCACGGCTCTCCACCTGCCTAGCTCGTTGTCTTCCATTGCATGAAAATTGCAGCCTTCACCCTCTCCATCTTCCTCTGGCTAAAATAGGAGGTGTCTGGGTTGGT